ATGCAGAAGAGAAGTTAAGAGATGTGGAAGACACAGAGAGAAGGCTGTACTAATGAATATGCATGTATGATGAGTTCCAGAAGGGGGTGACAGAGACGCCAGGGTACCGCCAATGTCTGAAGAAATAATGGCTGAGAATTTTCCAGCAATAATGAAAAACTCCAAAGTACAATTCAAGAAATCCAACAAATCCCAATAGGTTAAGTATAAAGAAATAAAATGTAGACATATCACAATATAATTGTAGATCACCAAAAAACAAAAAAAGAGAGAGAGAGAGAGAGACTATCTTTCAAAGTAGTAAAGAAGAAATGGAATGAGTGTGGCTGACTGGCAGAAGAGCTCTTACACACTCTGGTTAGGAAGGTGAATGCCTTAACAGATTGCGGCAATCTGCAGCCATCAGTCAAATACTTTTGGGGCTGTTTATATAAATATCATTGGTTTTTTGTTTGTTTGTTTGTTAAGATATTTTATTTATCCATTTGAGTGAGAGAGAGCACAAGAGGGGAGAAGGTCAGAGGGAGAACCAGACTCCCCATGGAGTTGGGAGCCTGATGCAGGACTTTATCCTGAGACTCCGGGATCATGACCTGAGCTGAAGGCAGTCGCTTAGCCAACTGAGCCACACAGGCGCCCAAATATCACTGTTTTGACAAATGCATAAGTCATGTTTGCTGGCAGAAATCCAGTTCTGTCACAAATATTTAAATATTCAATGGGTTTTCTTCTTCCAAAGAAAAGAAAGCAGAACTCAAAGAACTACAAGAACTAAAAGAACTAAGTCATTGCCCAGAATGACTGAGGGGTTTACTTAATACCTACTATACATGTTACACAGATCTTGGCATTTCAATCACTGTCTTCCGAAATGACGCTTAGACTAGCATGCAAAACTTCTCTTTCGCTAAGTGTTGAGAGAGTTTGGGCTTGGAGTGAGAATGGCTGCTGGAATCAATTAGGCAAAATACTTAACTCCATAGGCAAAGGTTCCCTCATCTACAGAATAAAGATAATAGTGCATACGTTTATTTAATCATTCAACACATATTACCAAGAATATTTTAAGTGTAAGGCAGTGGAGACATAAAGATCCATGAATATATAAACATAAACACACATACAGACTTTAGGAAAAACAAAGCATAGTGCTAATAGTCAGATCCTCACATTCCAAGCTGAAGAGTTGAATCTGCTCTGGTGAAAATGGCCAGACCATGAAGAAAGACCTGAAGATACTGACATCAGAGATTACCCAGCTAAGTGGTCCAACTAGATCATCACACCGAGCATCTCAGTGTGACAAGCTCTATGTACAACCTCAGAGATAACAATCATTGTGCTAGCTTCCTCTCTTAAATCTGAGGAAAGAAACATTACGATCCCCTGAGGAAAGTCTCTATCATGAAATATATAGACAAAACCAAAGAGAAACAAATCAACGTAGAGGAAAAGATACCATGCAGGGAGAATTTTTAAATGATCATTGCTATTTTCAAAGGTTAGAGAAGGTATGTCAACCAAGATGATTAGATATGTGTATGCACATATGTCTTATAAACACACACAAATCTGTATCTTTATGAAAAAACATCCAAAAAACAAATGACAAGTCTAACAGGTTAGAAGATAAAGGCAATGGAATTACCTAAAGAGCAAAAAGAGCAGGAGATGGAAAATAAAGGGCTAGACAATCAGAGGACTAGACTAGACTAGACTAGACTAGAATTCCAATATAGGAATGACAGATGGTCCCAAGGTCCCAAAAGATAGAAAAGAGAAAATGGGGAAAGGAAATCAATGGAACAACTCAAGAAAATAGATGGAGTTTCCATGTTGAAAGCACTCGTGACATATACGCCAAGCTGCATGAAAAAGCAAACCCAGACCAGGGCACCCTATTTAAGAAGTTGAAAACTTCTTAATGGAGTTTTCACCGGAGCTCAAACTGATAATCCTAGATGTTTCCAGAGTTTCCTAAGATTTAAAACAGGTCACATAAAAGAATCAAGAATGAGAATGCTTTCTACCACTTAGGAAATCCTGCAAGCTAGAAAGCAATACAACAAACCCTTCCAAATTCTGAAGGAAAATAATTTCTAATTTCTACCAAAACCATCATTCAAGCATGAGGGTAAATTAAAGAACAACTGAAGACGTTCAAGACCTCAAATATTTTACCTCCTGTTTACCCTTCCTAGGAAGTTGCTCCTGGAGATGCTGCACCAAAATGAAAGCAAATGGAATGAGAGTCTAAGAGGAAGAGAGACGGGATTTGGGAAACAGAGAAGAGATGAAGACTTCCCAAGATAATAATGAAATGAGGCTTGGGATGAGGTCTCTGTGAAGGGCACCATTCAGAGGCTCTGGGAGCGGGGAATAATTTGGTACCAAGAGAAAATTAAGAGACAGACACATCTGAAGAATCTGAAAGAAGAAGTAGGCGACTGGTGAGCAGATTGGGGGCTGAATCAATGCGATGTTCAGACAAAAACAAGGAACAACGTTACGTAATTGTTTGCTCCAGGGAAAGCAGGAAGTTGCACAGGAAAGAAAAAGTTTACTATACAGCTTGGATTTTAAACACATTTTCTAGTCATTATAATATAAGCACCAAATATTCAGTGAATCAAAATCATGTTAGAAGTCAAGGTAAAAGGTATAACTGTGAGCTGGGGATAGGAAGAGGAAAGAGCTGAATTCCTTTTCCAGATTGGGATAGTAAGACATAATGCCTAAAACTGAACAATCAAGAACTATCAATACGAGCATGTTATTTAGAAAAATGATGGCTAAACACCCAAATAATCAGCTACAAAAGATGCAACTGGTGGCCTCTGGAAGAAGGCAAATGAGGGCAGGCCTTTTTGGTAATATGTGTGGGAACTTGCTGACTGAGGGGTCCCCACCCTGACACACACTGGAATTGCAATGACACCCAAAACCCACTTCAGCTCAAGCGACGCAGGACCACACGAGCTGGGGCCCAAGGATAGATAGTTTTGAGAAGGACCCGAATGTTTCTGATACATGGAAAGAGTTGAGAACTACAGCTTTAAACTACATGCATGACTTACTCCCATAAAAATAAAGAATATTTAAATGAAGAGATATACATGAAATGTTGGTACTTATATAAAGAAACATTAGCAAACATGTTCAGGAAACACAGCAAAATCGGCACTCAAGAAATAATATATCAGTCACAGAGTTCTTTCTCATTAGAAATGTGCAAAACGGTAATTTAAGACTTTTCACACATGCTCTGCGGGGGAGAAGTATATATCCGACACTTTCATGTGTCAACACAGAGAACGCATACTTGATTTAGAGGTACCGAACAGTACTAATTTTGAAGAAGACCAAATTTGTCTGTGCCGTGCTCTAATTTGCCTGGTGCATAAATAAGTCTGTTCTGGACGATTTAATTTTTGAAAGGAGTGATACTCCACGTGCCATCAAAAGTAAACAGAAGAACCTTTTATTAATGCACCGTTATCCTCGGTGTCAGAATATTAAAATTTTGAATTAAATCATGATATACTTTTAAGATAAATACATTTCCAATGATGCACAATGGTGTTTTTAAAAATCAGCATTCAGTACTCATTCTCTATCCAAACAGCACTTTGGAAAATAGCAGGGACATACAATGAATGGTATTCTTGAGCCTATAAAAGGTGGTATCAAACATTATCCAATCAAGCTGACAGAAATTAATAGATGGCTAAAATACTCTAAATGCATGCTAGATCCTATTCAGTAGTACACTTGACCTGGTATAGCAAGCTATTCAGTCACACCACTAAACTGTAGCAAATGATTCCTTTTCATCGATGAGGACATTGAATGCTTCTTCTGAATTCTGTGAAGACATAAAATGCCTGGACTCTTCTGAGTTTACAGGTTTAAATAAGTCAGCCAATAAAGCTTTTCTTTCCTTCAGCGGCTTCCTACCCTCTCAAAAAGATTAAAAGCAACGACACACACATGATTTACTAAAGTATACAGCTAATTTTCCTAAAATTAAAAGTTGTAATGTCAAACTTGACAGAACAGGTAGCAGGATATATGCGAAAAATTTACAGTGGGTTGGATGCTCTGGAAATTCAGATACTGCCTCTAAAACAAAAAATTGGATGGTAAACATATGCTTGGGATCATCTCTTGGCTAGTAGACATGTATTTCCATTGTTCTCCTGAAATAAGTCTACTAATATTTGCTTCTCCATCTAATTATATGAACACCCACAACAGAAATAGTTTTAATTGGCAGATCCGTGTTCCTAGCATATTTTTGAACATATTGCCAACTAATGAAATATTCCAAACACATACAAAGATTCTGTTTTCATTTTCCCATAAATTACTGTAGTTTGAATTCTAACTGCACTACGGGCGGTTTTTACACAGTCATTGGAAAACCACTGCTTCAATAGCAAAATATAAAACAAAGGCTTTTCGCTTTAAATCCCTGTTATTTATTTCAGCTTTCAGGGCCATCTTTTCTTTCTTACTGTCACAAATTTAAAAAAAAATTAAGTGCATCTAAAACCATTTATGTTGCTATTCAGACTGTAACAGTGTAAAATGGGATAGAAATTCCACGTAAACTCCAGCAGCTTGGCGTATAAAAGGGGAAAAGTTTGAAAACTAGAAAATAAAATTTGCCCGTATCCTCCTACCTCTACAGAAGTTACTCTGGGTTATATAACAAAAATAAACCTCCCACCAGAGATCTTGGAAATCTTGAATTTTTTTTTCCTGCAGGAGAATTTATTATTTTCCACTGAGTGTCCATTCATGCGTTTTCTTCTTGTCTCTATTCATAGCACCAGATCCTGACTAGCATGCACAACCTCAAAAGAAAAGAAACACTAAATACAAACTGTGTAAAACGTTTGAAGAATAAAGCAAAATAAAAAGGCTGGGGTTTAGATTGCTTACCTTGGGATAGTGCCATAATGTCTAACACATACAATGGTGCACGTAGAACTTACCTTGTATGCGACACTGTTGGACGAATCCACAATAATAAACAGGGGCTTCCTCGTGAAAGGGTAGAGGTCTCCGGGATGAAGGCTAGGGAAACAACAACGGTAACAATGATTAACTGTGCAGCTGTACCAGCCAAGTCTCAGAAATCATACTCCTCGGTTTGGTCTGCTCCCATCTCTTTTTCAACACAGCTTGGAGCAAGAAACAAAGATTAATTTGGCAAAAGACGAAACATGCCTATATCAACTGGAAGAGACAAGTTAGCAGTTTTAGATGGAAAAATATTCAGAGAGAACAATTATTCAGGAACATTCAAGCTAAAGAGAAGTCTACAGATTTAATGATGGACTAAACATAAAACAGGAAAACCTCACAAGTCAGCATGTAGGTGCTTGTTTAAAAAAAGTTCCTTCTGGGGCACCTGGGTGGCTCAGTGGGTTAAAGCCTCTGCCTTCAGCTCAGGTTATGATCTCAGAGTCCTGGGATCGAGCCCTGCATCGGGCTCTCCGCTCAGCAGGGAGCCTGCTTCCCCCTTTCTCTCTGCCTGCCTCTCTGCCTACTTGTGATCTCTCTCTGTAAAATAAATAAATAAAATTAAAAAAGAAAAACTCCTTCTAAGACAATGTTCTGAAAACATAATGTGCTAACACAACCCAATTTGTACTGCAGTGAGTCTTTTAAAAATCTTCATTTATTTTAAAGATTCTTAATACATCATGCTACAATTTAATATTACATATACTAAGTAGAGGCTCCCCTTTTACTATCCATTATGATTCCTCTGGATATTTGCATCAGGATCAGCTGGGGTGCTTGTTAAAAATACAGATTCACTGGCCCACAGAAGACCCACTGTCCCCAAGGTCTGAAGTCCAATAACAAACATTTGAGAACCGCTACTAAACAAAGTCACAATTTTGGTGTGTATCCTCTCTTTCTCATGGCCTACCAGACAACGTATGTATAAAATCTTAATGTAAATATAAATAAAATGATGTGTCAATGAGCAACATCATCAAACCTCAATGGGTTTCAAATATGAGTTTTTCAAATATAAATCATTTATGACCAAGGTCAATGACAGCACCAATGTATGACTTGGAGGACTGTTAGATATTATAAACATAATTTGAAATACCTCTCTTTCTGCCCTCCTTCCCTCATTCTTTAATATGAACAGTTAACATTTTTCTGTAAAGTGTTATTAGAAATGCAGTTTCATACAAGTCCAGTCTCCTTTATAACCAGACGGCTATCCCTCAGCTGGAGAGAGTCTAGAGCCAATAACGGCCCAAGCAATGAATGTGCTGTATTTAGAAAAACAGCAAACTTTCATGGTGAAATTTACTTGAAATGATACAACTAAGTTCATTTATACTATATCAAACCAAAAGAACCGTATTTTAAAAAGCTTGTATTGGGGGCGCCTCGGTGGCTCAGTTGGTTAAGGGTCTGCCTTCAGCTCAGGTCATGATCCTGGAATCTTGGGATGGAGTCCCGACACGGGTTCCCTGCTCAGCTGGGAGTCTGCATCTCCCTCTTCCTCGACCCCTCCCCCACTCAAGTTCTCTCTGGCTCACTCTCTCTCTCTCAAATAAACTTTAAAAAAAAAAAAAAAGCTTTGGGACGCCTGGGTGGCTCAGTTGGTTAAGCAGCTGCCTTCAGCTCAGGTCATGATCCCAGCGTCCTGGGATCGAGTCCCACATTGGGCTCCTTGCTCATCAGGGAGCCTGCTTCTCCCTCTGCCTCTGCCTGCCATTCTGTCTGCCTGTGCTCGCTCTCTCTCCCCCTCTCTCTCTCTCTGACAAATAAATAAATAAAATCTTTAAAAAAAAAAAAAAAGCTTGTATTAATGTTAACATGTATCATGTCCTGACATACTATTTATGTACATACTATTTATGTATACATGTACAGTTTCTTCCAACTTGAATGTAATTCTGCTCACTGACATATCCCCAATGATTGAACAGGACCTGACATATAATACTCAATGAAAATTTTAAAAATGAATGTCAGCCAAAAATTCTAATTTCCTAGGACACTCAGAGCCTGAAATATTGCTGGAACCCAAGTAAGTGTTCTTAATAGTAGCGTGAGGGAGTATTTCCAGTACTAGAAAAAACTCCCCAATTTACTTAGTATTTTCTAAGACAGAACTATAATTTTTATAACAGGGAGAGACACCAGAATACATACCAGTGCATTTCCTTGTGGGACTGATTTCGTTTGTGGATGGCATCTCCATTTATAATATCTCGGTTACTATTAGTAAGTACCCCTCCAAAATCATAAGGACCTATAAAAACAAAGGGAAGAATCCTAGACTTCAGTTGGAGAATGATACTGATCTGACGCTCATATGAATCTCTTACTGATACAAATGGAAGACAATTACAAAACATTTTAATCACTTTAAAATTTAACATTCTAGTTTAATGCAGTATTTAAATGATTTCAGCATGTTGCCTGTTTCAACATTTTAAAAAATCATTTAATTATTCATCAGTTCTTCAAACAGAATAAAATGAGAAACAAGACAAGAATCTACTGCACCCCATTTTTCTGGGTAGTAAAAGGGATGGAGATCTGGGATGTTCAAAATGATCTTTATATTTCAAGCAAAATTTTATCTCAAATTCAATCAAATTATCTAAGAAAGAAAGTTGCAGAATTAAGTCCTAATAATTTCTTAAATGTAATTCTAAATGAGCCACTAATTATAAAATTTAGGGAAAATTTTGAGGGGGACTTGAAAATTCTCATTGCAAAAACTTCATTTTTAGAAAAGAAATGCCAAATTTCAGTGTGTGAAAAACATCTGTTATTGTCTCTATTACGTTAGCACTGTACTTTCGGTTTTGAAGTTAGCCTTTTCTACTGGTCACATTGCTTAGTTGAACACTTATCTAAATGAACTGTAACTGTGGGATGTTAGGAATCATCTCTCTCAAAGGGCCATTTAGTTAGTACCTATTATACCTTGAAAAAGTTAAATAAGATCAGTATGTCAAAATGGGGGCGCAGATTCAACAATACATGTTTAAAAACAAAGAAATAATTATTTACAAATAAAATTACTAACTTCATTACCAAAAAATTTAAAGCAATTTATGATCGTGTCACTTTTAACGCTGTTACATTTTATTCCTTAAGAATCACTGCAATGAGAAGACTCTGAGATTCATTTTGCTTCTTTTTAACACTTTAAAAGGACCTATAAGTCATGCAAGGAAGATGGCAGGGACATGCATTGTATAAAGGAATGCAAATTTCAACAAACAGATGAAGAGGAAAATGTTAATAACGTTAAGAAAAAAAAATTTTTTTTTGTCCAAAGACTTAATTTCCTAATTTACATCCATGTTACTCATCTATTCTGATTAATTTCTTATATTCTGGACTCATATATTCTGGATAGTTTTAAGTTTTGATTCTGAAACAGCATCCCAATATTCTTCAGGTTGAATCCATAAAAACCAAAAAAAGAACAGAAACAAAATCATGACAAGGACTTGAACTTTCACAGTTACAAGAGTGCATTAATTTCTACCAAGACTTTTAGCCACAATGAAGCCGCTGACCAGATTTCCCTTTGCCCTAAAGGCCCCGAAAAACTCAGTGATGTGAAGCAGAACAGGAGGCTTGGTTATTCCATATGTATTTAAATATATATGTGCCTTTGGCAAACTTGATAGTGAGGCATGCATTTAGTATTCGAATTTGCTGGTGATCTGTGGACTTCAAAGTATAATATTGCAACTTAAATAAAGCAGATGGGGTATCTACAAGACTGCCAATTCAACAAAGGGACCAGGTTTCAAATATGGAAGCCTTTCTGGAAAGCTTGGGATGGTCTATGGGCTACGGGCCATCGTCTTGTAGAAAATAAAGAGAATTCAAGCCCTGCTTGCAACAGGGAGCATTCCTTTATTGTACCTTCACTATCAGCACGACCTGTGGGGAAGACGCCAGTGGCTGACAGGTAAATCAGAAGCACACTATTGGCGGGCAGCTCCTGCAATTAAAGAAAATCGCATACACCAAACAACAAATGGTTTCATTGAACATCCTGACATTTTCAAGTTAAAGGGACAATAAGAACCTAATTCAACGTAATGCCATCTTCTCCAGGAGTTCAACCACTCTTGCAGGTTCCAACTCATAACTGCTCAGGCAACAAAGAATCATTACAAATCTATAATCTATTACTATTGCCCAAAGTTTTGAATTCATTCTCTACTTTGAAAACCTTGTCATTTAGAGAATGGTCTCTGCAAACCTTGAAATGGAGAAGTAAGGATCCTGGCCATAGGTCTAAAAGACCAACTCCTGCCCATGGCTTTCTCTGCATAAGCGCTGGCAGGAATCCCCTACTTCTCACAGTTCTTTCAGACCTTCAGATGGTCACAGTGCTCCCCAGAGCTCCCTGAACACACAACATGCCTGTCCAATCTGACCATTATGCGCAAAGTACTTTAGTAATAAAACCTGGAGAAAGGAGAATGATGATTAGTCCGTATTCTTGTTAATTAACGGTAAGGAAGAGTCATAACATCATAAGCAATTTCTGTTCCAAATAGATGTGATCAGATATTCTGAAGCAGTTTTCAATTTCATATTTCATCAAAATTCTTGACTCAAAGATTCAAAGAAAAGAGTGACTCTCAGGGCACCTGGGTGGCTCAGTTGGTTAAGCAACTGCCTTCGGCTCAGGTCATGATCCTGGAGTCCCAGGATCGAGTCCCACATCGGGCTCCCTGCTTGGCAGTGAGTCTGCTCTCCCTCTGAGCTCTCTACTCTCACACTCTGTCTCTCAAATAAATAAATAAATAAAAAAAAATTTAAAAAAAAAAAAAAAAAAAAGAGTGACTCTCAGATTCTACTCAGGGCACAATTTTCTCATATAGTAAAGAGTATTGGATCATATATACCTTAAAAGATGCTGCTAAGAATGTGTATAGTTGACTGAAGGTTGGTTTGTAGAGCAGATACTTGTGGGGGTTTTCTCGTCTGGTAGGCTTATCAGCCGATTCCTATATTTACACACAGAAAACAAGACACATACGAGCTGTATTTGACTGATGAATTATCAATGCCTTTTTTTATGATCCTCTTCATCAAATAGCTTTTTTTTTTTTTTTACTCCACGTTACTATTATTGTACTTATCTCTCCTGTATCTCAAGAGAATTCTCTATTTACATGCATAGCATTTGTTGAGTAACAGCATTCCCTGAGGAGCAGAGGCAGAAACAGTGTTACCGAAATTGCAAATGTAGAGAGAAGATCACCTGCATTCCTGGTTTATTCATCTGGGAGGCTAAGTTCATCGGCTCCCTTTCCAAGGCTTGTAACATCCGGAACATGTCCACAGTTAGTTCACTAAACTTAACCTGCAAGGAAAACAAACCTGACCATGAATGCAACACAGACCCAGAAGCCTCTGACCATCATAGTACCTCTGACATTCATGCATACTTGATGACATTGGGTAATTTTATTCCCCAGTGTTTTATTATAAAACATTTCCAAAGACAGAAAACTAAAAGAATTGTACAGTAATACTCAGAGCGCATCACCTAGATCCTATACCATTAACATTTTCTTTATTTATGTTACCACATATCTCTCCATTTATTTATATTTCTGTCAATCCATCAACTTCCTCAGGTATTTTCAGAAACATGAAAAGCAGTCATCTAAACAAAAAGACCTACATTAGGTCCTTCAAAACATGCTAACTTTTGGCAAAACAGCCTGCTAGAAAATGGCTATGGCCCATATTTCAAAACCTCATCAATACATTTTGGCTCTATATGATGTTTAAGGGTGCAGCCGTCTCCGTTTTGAATAAAACTTCTATAGAACTTCAGGGAGGCAATATGTTGTTTTAAAAAAACATTTTTTTAAAAATCATGCTAAGTGTACTCTTTAATCCCTATCACCTATATCACCCATCCTCCTACCTGTCTCTCCTCAGGTAACCATCAGTTTTTCTCTACAGTTAAGAGTCTGTTTCTTGGTTTGTCTCTCTTTTCCCTCTGCTCATTTGTTTTGTTACTTAAATTCTACATATAAGTGAAATCCTATGGTATTTGTCCTTCTCTGACCTACTTTGCTTAGCATTATACTCTCTAGCTTTACCCATGTTGTTGCAAATGGCAAGATTTCATTGCTTCTTAAGGCTGAATAATATTCCATTATACAGATATACACACACACAGAGAGAGAGAGAGAGAGAGAGAGAGAGAGAGAACCTCTTCTTTATCCATTCATCTATCAATGCACACTTGGGCTGCTTCCACAGTTTGGCTAGAAATAATCCTACAGCAAACATAGGGGTGCATGTATCCCTTTGAATATGTGTTTTGTATTTTTGAGGTAAATACCCAGTACTGCAATTACTAGATCATAGGGTAGTTCTGTATTTTTAACTTTTTGAGGAACCTCCACACAGTTTCCCACAGTGGCTGCACCCGTTTGCATTCCCACCAACAGTGCAAGAGGGTTCCTTTTTCTCTACATCCTTGCCAACATTTGTTGATTCTTGAGTTTTTTTAATTTAGCCATTCTGACTGATGTGAAGGGAGGAATATCTCATTTTGGTTTTGATTTACATTTCCTTGATGATGAGTGATGTTGAGCATCTTTTCACGTGTCTGTTGGCCATGTGGATGTCTCTACTGGAGACACTGTTAATGTCTTCTGACCATAAGCAAGCAATTTTTACATTTAAATTAAATTTGCAAATTAATTGCTCTTTTAAAAAAGATTTTATTTATTTATTTGTCACAGACAGAGAGCACAAGCAGAGGGAGCAGGAGGCAGAGCAGGCAGAGGGAGAAGCAGACTCCCTGCTGAGCAGGGAACCCAATACGGGACTCGATCCTAGGACCCCGAGATCATGACTTGAGCTGAAGGCAGCCGCTTAACCAACTGAGCCACCCAAGCATCCTGAAAATTAATAGCTTTTAAAGCCAAAATTGGAGAAATACTAGAAAAAGTTACCAATAACAAAAATGAAAGGTGTGCGGGAAGGATCCAATATTTAAACTTGTGTAAATAATGCATACAGAAAAATGTATTCACTGGACACATTTCTGATATTCCATAATTTCCAGTAAATTTACATTTCTAGTACATTAAATCCTTACCATCATGGAACTATTCTATCATGAAAAAATATTTTATATTGGCTGTGATGAATATACTTAAAAATAATTCTTCCTCCCTTTGTCTGACTGTAAAAGTAATATACGGATTTAGAAAGTTATAAAGAAGAAAATAGGGGTGCCTGGGAGGCTCAGTTGGTTAAACGTCTGACTCTTGGTTTCAGGTCACGTTGTGATTTCAGGGTCGTGGGCTTTAGCCCTGCGTGGGGGCTCTGCACTCAGTGGGGAGTCTGCTGGAGATTCCCTCTCTCCTCTCCCTCTGCCCTTCCTGCTTGCTCACACATACTCTCTCTCAAAATAAATGAATAAATCTTTAAAAAATTTTTAAATAGGGGCGCCTGGGTGGCTCAGTGGGTTAAGCCGCTGCCTTCGGCTCAGGTCATGATCTCAGGGTCCTGGGATCGAGCCCCGCATCGGGCTCTCTGCTCAGCAGGAAGCCTGCTTCCTCCTCTCTCTCTGCCTGCCTCTCTGCCTGCTTGTGATCTCTCTCTGTCAAATAAATAAATAAAATCTTTAAAAAAAAATTTTTTTTTAAATAAAGTTAAGCTTTAAAACAGCAGAAAATAAATCACCTATCATTCTGTTACCCAGAGATAAACCTTTTAGGATATTGGTAAATTTCCTCCTAGTCTTTTTGCCTATACATATATGCATACAGACATTTTAACATACATAAAATAATTCTGTTTACACAGCTCTATTCCAAGTTTATTTTCACTTACCATATCATGAGTGTATCTACCTCTGCAATGAAAAATCCTAAACCTATAAATGTCTGTAATACAGTCCATGCGGACATGGCATAATTGAATTAACCATTTCCTCACAAATGGATTTAGGATATTTACAAGGAAAGTCATTGTGCAATAAAAATCTATAATTCTTTAAAAATAGGAAAGCATTATTTTTCTAAGTGAATTTTTAGTATAATTCCTTCACCATTCTTTACCTGGTTATTGCAATTACCAATAATGAGTGCGTCAGCCAGAGACAACTGTCCCACAATCATGCCCTGTTCCAGCAACGGGGCTCCTGTTTCAGCGAGGCGATTAGATGTGATAACAATGGTATTGTCATCATTCAGTACCATCACTGGGTCCGCCTGGAGAAAAAAAGCAGTAAGTAGTTGATGGATAAGACACAATGTCAGTACATATTGTGTGATATATACACACAATAAAAATGTATATTATCCGTGATTACACAATCATCCTTGTCAAAAGCTGACCTCAATGAAAGCTGCTACTTCTTGAAGCACCAGGTTCCACTCCACTTGATCTTCTGTATTAAAGCGGTGAGTATAGTCTTCAATTTCATCTGACAATTCCTAATTTTAAAATATCACAAAGAAAAATGATTATAGGAAAAATACACATAAAAATAGGTTGCTATATTATACCATATTCTTTACAGAAATTGATATAGTTAAGAAGCTTGATTATTATCAACATATAGTCCCATTTATAGCCAGAGTCCCAATATAATAGTACCAATTATAGCCAAAAACAAAGAAAACTGCTTTATTTTGCTTTAAGCCTCCAGAATAATACACACCAGTAAGATCTTCATAGAGATCCAGAGTAACTCATATTTGATCAATGCTACATCAGCACTTAATTTATTAAAAGAAGATTCTTAGAGGTAAAACCCCCAATTTTTAATACTTGGAAAAAAATGAAGACTGTCTAGATGATTTTCATTGGATTTATATCATAGTGTGTTTTGGGAAGAGTCTTATTAGCAACTAGAGATGGAAGAAGACAGAGAAGGACCTGGCAAAACTAAATGTTCTGGGGCGCCTGGGTGGCTCAATGGGTTATGCGTCTGCCTTTGATTCAGGTCATGACCTTTGGGTCCTGGGACTGAGCCCTGCATGGGGAGGCGGGGGTTCCTGCTCAGGTCCCCATCCCTCTGCCCCTTCCCCTACTTGTACTCTTTCTCTCTCTCGTTCAAATAAAACACATACACACACACAAAACCCACAAAAAACTAGCATGTTCTAGTTGAGTACCAAAAAATTAGGAAGCACACCACTGGAAGGACTGACTGAATACAGAGTGCAACCAGAATGGGGTATGCAGTAACTACAGATATGGAGTGAATTCTGGGTATGGTTACCTCCTAATTACCTCAGCTAATGAAGGAGAGTGAGGCAGACAGAGCAAAAGGATGGGAAGACCAAAACTCATTCACAATACCTTTGTAAAACATTATATGCTTATTCTTGACCTAACCTTTCAATTATTTTCTCTTAAACCAAGTATTTTACCTTTGGTTTGCATTTCTCGACCATCCATTGATGGATGGTGAAATGTAAAACATGCTTAAGGGACAAAAGCAAGGGATTAAGAGAAATGTCTCTGGCTAGTTGTATCAGAAATATGGAGAGAGCAGGAAAATCCTTTTAGCACTGCCCTTGTCCAAAGCTACTATACTTTGAATGCTGTAATGTTTTACACATTTTAAAATTATTTTTTACCCTAAGTCTACTTTTGAGAAACAAAATTATCCATACACAATTACAGCCTAGGATTTTAACAATTTTAAAGCACACTTACCTTCACCAAATCCTTCACAACATCCATTTTGTTGAGCAGAAGACAAACTACAATAAACCTTGCGTAGTATCGTAGCTTCTTAACAACCAACTCAGGTCTATGGCAGAGAAAGAGGAAGTTAACTCATTAGACTCAAAAAAGAAAACACGCTCTTTGATTTTTCCAGCTCTCTGGCAGCTTTTAAACTCTTTTAGATATTATTTTGCACAGTTACAACTATTTCTGCACATAACCTATAGTCGCATTTAAACACGTTTCTTACTCATAGATTCATTACGTTCATTCATATATTCATTCATTGAACAAATACCCACGGGAAACTTAGATGCCTTAGGCACTCTGCTAGAAGAATGATCAAAACAAACTACAGACATGGCCCCCTCTTCACAAATCTCAGAGACAGGAAGCTACCTACAACATAGTGGACACAGATAAACACAATGACAGAATAAATACAACAACAGGAAGACTAAAGGATGCTATCTGAGCCCACAGAGGAGGGTTCCTAGCGAGAGTGATGTTGTGGTAGAAGAAGACAACCGCAGGAAAATATGAGGTGAAAAGAGTTCCAGGAAGAACATTTTTTGTTTTGAAATCTTATTTTCTGGTATTAATATAATCAAACCCAGTTTTCTTATGCTTACTGCTTGTATGCCATATCTTCTTGAATCCTCGCCTTTCCAGTACCTGTGTCTTTTCACGTTAACCGGTATTTTGTAGGCAATATTTAGTTACCTTTTTTTATCCAGACAATCTCTGCCTCACAGACTCAGGAAGTTGGACCGTTTACATTTTATCTGTTACTTTGGCTGGGTTTGCATCTCCCACTGGGCTGTCTGTTTTCTATTTGCCCATCCTGTATTTGTTTTCTAGTGCTCCTTTCTTGCTTTCTTTCCAGTTCATCAAATATATTTTAGTGCTCTATTTTATGTCCTCTGTCAGTTTCCTACTTATACCGCTTTCCTTACTCTTCTTTTAGTGGTTGCTACAAGTAAATGATCAAAGGCTATTTACCATCAATATTGTACCTCTTCACACTTGACCCTTTATACTCATCCCTTATCAATTCAAACTCGGTATTTCCGATTTCCACAGCCTCCGTTACAATTGTAATAATCTTACAACAGCATATTTTTTATATGCTGGACATTTTCCATGAGAAAATTTGTAAAAATTCCTCTTTGAACCATGAGTTATTTAGAAAGGTGTCTACTAATTGATATATTTATTGATTTTTTTAAAAATTATGTTGTCATTCTTAATTTTTAATGGCACTGGACCATGGTTAGACATCCTACACTTGAAAATCATTGAAACATGTTTTATGTCAGGTTTAAGTCAATTTCACAAAAGTTTCATTTAAGCTTGAAAATTAATGTGCATTTGCGTATTGGCAGTTTTAAGCACATTAGAACAAGTTGTTAATTATGTTATTCAAACCTCAGTTTTTGGTTTTCTTGATAAATGATTAAATATGGTATATGAAAAATCTTCTTGTATATTGGTTGGATCATTTATCAATTTCTTCCATAAAATATGCCACTTTTTGCTTTACTATAATATTACATTATTGGGCATATACAAGTTTAGAATTTTTTTTTGAGTTGTTCCTTGCACCAGTATGAAGTAAACCTCTATCTTTAATAATGCTCCCTGCCTTAAATATAGTGGCATTTCTTCCCTCTGCTATCTATTTTATCTTTTCCTGTACCTTGTATCTTTGGAGGATCTCTTATAAACACTATATTATTGGATTTTCCTTTAAAAGGCATACTGATAAATCTCTGACTTTTATTAGGAAGTTTAGATCACTTTCATTTACTATGAGTACCAATGTACTTGTACTTATTTCTACTTTAGTTTTTTGTGCTAATTATACTTTAGTGTGTATTCCTTTCCTAGATTTTATTATAAAGATCATACATCATAATTTTATTTTTCACTTTCCTCCCCTCTACCTGTTTTGAAGTTAAACATTTTCTTTATGTTCTTTAAAATATTTTTATTATTTATTTTTTAAATTTTTTTAAAAAGATTATTTATTTGACAGAGAGAGAAAGATCACAAGTAGGCAGAGAGCTGGGGGGGGGGGAGGAGGGGAGCAGGCTCCCTGCTGAGCAGAGAGCCCGATGTGGGGCTGGATCCCAGGGCCCTGAGATCATGACCTGAGCTGAAGGCAGAGGCTTAACCCACTGAGCCTCCCAAGTGCCCCTATTTTTGTTAATATTTTAATAAGCAAACTTTACCGACTCTAAGCTTCTTCTGGATGATAAATGGATGTTATTGGTATGGTTTAGCTCTTTACTTTCTTCTTTCATGTTATTGTTGTCCAGAATTTGGCCCCATTTTATCTCAATAACCTCAATTAGCCATTAATACAATGACCACTGTCTTATGAAGTCCGTGATTTTTTAGGAAACCAAGGGGTAACTTTTTTCTTACCAATCCTTGTAAATTACCTGTTCCTTCCAGTTTCAATTTTCCTCTTTCTGAAGAAATCCACAGTCGTTCTCTTACATCACCAGAACTAACCACCCTCCTACAAGGTTGTCCGGGCACTGGTCACAGGGTTAATGACCTGAGGATTTCCCTTACTTTCTTGACAGCTAAACTGTCCATTTAAAAGGATGGCTGAGGGGCGCCTGGGTGGCTCAGTGGGTTAAGCATCTGCCTTCAGTTCAGGTCATGATCCTAGGGCCCTGGGATCGAGCCCCATGTGGGGCTCCCTGGTCAGTGGGAAGCCTGCTTTTCCCTCTTCTCCCTGCTCATGCTCTAGCTCACTATCTCTGTCTTTCTAATAAATAAATGAAACCTTTAAAAAAAAAAAAAAAAGACAGTTGATCTGTTTATCCAGCATCTCCAGGTTATTTTGGATGCAGTTATTTTTGATTGTTTAGCCTACCACATTATCAAAGTGGAATTCAAACAGGAGGAAAATTTGTAGGAGGATGATGTTCATTCATAGCTGAAATATTAATAAGAAAATTCCTTTAATTTTTTTATAAAAATAAAACAGGTTCTGTGGATTTGTATCATATCACACAATTATGTAACACAGATTACACAAACACATATTGAACCAGGCATTGGCAAATTTTTGCAAATGGCCAGACAGTAAATGTTTTAGGCTTCGTAGGCACATACGGTGCTCATAGTGTATCTACCTTTTCTTTTTTTCACTGCACTTCAAAAATGTAAAAAGGATCCTAGGCTAGCAGACAGTTCCCAAACAGCCGTGCCATCCCTGTATTACATGAACACACAGCAGTAGATGGATGTGTTCTGTTGTGGAAACCACTGCGTCGAACTGAGCAGAGGGCAGGTAAGTAAGTCAGGGCTATCCATTCATACACACAAGAGGTTACCCCAATCAGGCCCCAAAACCTCAACAGCCCACAGCCCCACTGTCTGAAAACACATCAAACTGCAGAAGGAAAAGATCCTATGAACCACAGTAGGAAGGTCCACTTCAAGTCCTCCCGACACACACCACTACTAGAAGGTGCCAAGGTCCTCAAGATCAGATTCACGGTTCCCATGATGGAAAAAGTCCATTATGTCACCCCCACAGCTGACATCACGATTCTCCTGACAAAGTTCTTCTGGTACTGCAGAGCCATAGCTTTGTCCAGCCTGCCAGGCCCACTACTTCTAAGACACTGACCTCTATACCTCTGCCCGAGAAACAGTCTTCCCAGGAGGCTGACTGCCACATGGCCCCAACCTCTGGGTACCCAGAAACTTCATCCTCTCCACATGGAACTCTGACCAGGTCAGCCTCAGCCATTTGCAAAGCCAGGGTCAGTGGCTCCCAGGGCAAATGATTATGCAGTAACCTCTCCCCTACTAAAAACGATGATGATGGAATGAGACATTTTCATGTGTTGCTCTTGGTGATCGCTGGAATGTACCATTCCTTCTGGCTCTAACGCAGTCCTTAGGTACTGAGACAATGCAGAGAGAACTTGCCCCTTTGAGGAGAGATTTTTGCTTTTAAAGGAACTGCGAAATTGTGCAATCCTCTTACTTAGTTTTAATCAACCAGCTGTTCGCTTTATTTTATTTTTTATTTAAATTCAATTTAGTTAACATATACTGTATTATTAACTTCAGGGGTAGAATTTAGTGATTCATGAGTTGCATGCAACACCAATGCTCCTTGTATCAGGTGTCTTGCCCAGCAATCCTCAGTTTATTTCCTAGACTTAAGAGTCTCTTATGGTTTGCCTCCCTCTCAGTTTTCATCTTATTTTATTAATACAATGGAATATAACCCAGCCATCAAAAAAAAGAATGAAATCTTGCCATTTGCAAAGACGTGGATGGAACTAGAGGGTATTATGCTAAACCGGCTGTTCATTTTAGGACCTATTAGCAAACTACCTTGGCTGTCTTCCCGCCCTGTAAGAACTGAGAAACAACCTACCAACCATCATCCTTCCTAAGGTACAGGGAACAAGGTCAAGATTTTGTATAATGGATCGTCCTTTCATTCTAATTTAGTGGCCTCAGGCAAGAGATTTGTCATACTGGTTATAAATAATCCTACCGCAAATAAATAAATAAATAATCCTACCTCTGTTCATCTGCCTTGCTCTAGGAGGCAGCACAGGAAAATCATTCATATGGGGTATTTGCTATTAGGATAGGAAAGGATTTTAATAAAGGAAACTGTTTGGTTTTAAGCCAAAGGGCCCAAGGCCAATTTCCCTTTGAGCGAATTAGAAAATGCAGAAGAGTGAATTATACAAGGTATTTCATTATTGCTTAAAATGGTTCTTTCCTTGGGGCACCTGGGTGGCTCAGTTGGTTAAATGTCTGCCTTTGGCTCAGGTCCTGATCTCCAGGTCCTGGGATCCAGCCCTGCACAGGGTTCCTGCTCATCAGGGAGCCTGTTCCTCCTCCTCCCTCTGCCCCTCCCCCTGCTCCTGCTCTCTCTCTCTCTCTCTCTCTCTCTCTCTCAAATGAATAAATAAAATCTTTAAAAAAAAAATGGTTCTTTCCTTATATGTATTTTCATACTGAAAAGATATTCATTACATAGCCCCTTTGCATATTTTTAGAAATAAAATTTATCTCACCATGAATTCAAATTGTACAATATGAATACAAAAATTGGGGGGAGGGGTTCTGAGGAAATGTATCTGTAGTGAGAATAGGTGAGGTAAGCCATGAGAAAATCTGAAGGAGAGGCAGGTAACTGATGGAACTTTTGCTGGAAGAACGAAGCACAGGGATGATTTTGGGGAAAACGGAGAATCCAGCAACTGCATGCCTTCGTTGTATCAAGCAAACTCCTTTGCACAAGCCTGAACAAGATCTGCTGGGGAATGAAGGGGATTTACAGGAGTGGGGCTTTCCAAAAAATACTGCTGTTTAGCCAGAAAGCTTTATGATAGCCAACCATAAAGTGTTCTCTAGAAAAATATGTCAAAATTATGTTCTTGTCTACTGGTAAGAGAATATAATCTTTTCACTATATAACAACTGTGAGCTCTGCCGCCGGCAGTAGAGAGAACATTCAGATCTTCTATGCCTGAGCTTTCTCTTCCAACAATTCCTGGAATACTAGTAACAGAGATTCTCCAGCAGAACCCTGATTCCTTCAGCAATTATGTCTTCCCCTGGAATTAATAATATCACAGTCTACCTGTACCCCAAATATGTCTGTAACTTCCATAAGGAGATAATCCTCTGAAAGGAAGAGAACACATGTAAACCTTCTTCTTTTCTCTTCTCCCACCCAAGCATCTATACCACTGCCAAATACAAAACATGTGGCTCAACAGATTACCGTCGGGAAATGAATAAATTCTGTGTGATTTTTTTTTTTTCTTACAGTGGAGCTACACCACTGTAACATATCCAGTTTATATAAGACAATGTAAACAGCTTTAGCGGCCTTTTCTTTAGTCCCACCCACAGCTGTCAGCAAGCTTTTGAATGTATATGAATTCAAATTATATAGGATAACAAGAACAAAGGCTATCCGCTAAGCCTCACTTTGGAATTGTTTCATTTCTATGAAACTTTGTGAGTCTCCAATCTCTCATTAAGAAATAATCAACCCCTCCTTCATGCTCTGATTTCTCCCAGGTACTAGGACATCTGTTGTTACATCTATGACATTTATTGCTTTTAGGTAACATAGGTCTGTATGCTTAAGAAGGCCTAATATATTGTAAGGTGCTCAGTAAAGTCCATTTAAATTAATAAAAGTTATAAACAAATATGTGCTTCTTCGCATAATTTCCACACAGGCTAAAAATTCTGAGTGTTTTATCTCCTCTCTAAAAACATAGTAGGTGCATACCTGTCCTCTTTATTGACTTGAGAATAATATGATCTCTGTCTAATTGCAGAATAGAAGGAGAAAGCTTCATTCAGATAGCTGGTCTCAGATGTGCGTAGGCTATGAGGAAAAAAAAATCCTTAAATTTGACAGTGTCTCAAAATCTTCATGATGAATACTTGTTTTATTCTTCCTCTATTCCTCTACACGAGGGGATGGGAAGGACTATCCTAAATTTGCAATCAGCAAAGCAATAATCTTAATACCCTTAAAATGGGTAAGAATAACGACAAGGTAAAAAAAAAAAAAAAAAACCTCCCCACTGCTCCCAAGCCTTTTTTGATGGCAATCCAAAGTACACATTATTCTCATTCTTTGAAAGGATTCTCCAAACAGCATTCCACCCAGTTACATCTTTCCACCAGACCTTTCATGGCCTTCCCCAAATCCATACAGAGTCACTTGTCCTTTGGCTCATTTCTTCAGTTTCTCATAGGACTCAGAAATGGACTAATCCGTATTAATCTTCAGAGGATGCTGATGAATCAGGTTCTCTGTTTAACATTTCTAGTTTTACAAGAGACTTCTTAAGAAAATATTCTACCTGAAAGAGTGATTTTAATGGGGGAATGTTGGATGGCGTGCCAAGAGATAGGAAGAGGAAGAAATTCCATATGGTCCAAGCTTTTTATGGTATACCCGATACTCAATGAGATTTAGATTCCGAAAAGGAATTATCTTCTTTCCTTGACTCATCATTAAGAATCTCATCTCATCAGTGAGATTTATCTGCTTCATGTAACCTTTTAGATATATCCTACAAATACGAGTTTTAAAGTATTCCCCCGAAAACCACTCATTCAAACATATAGTTATGATATGATCAAGATTTAAGTGAAGCCATTAAGAACTATAAATTCATTTCATATTTATGATTTATCTCAAACCAAGATGACGAGCATTTAAGTTATAAATGAGTCTGCCCAAATGCACTGTTAGGAAGGCAAGCCTTTGAAGCAAATAATGTTACTTGGATTATGGAAGATCATTTCATAATACTGTTTTGATCACTACGATCTGGGGTTCATTTGTAATGCCTTAATTTTCCCTCCTACCAAGTAAGTATATTATGCATACTTTTGCATGCTGTGTTTAAATCAGGACAATGCTTTATTTTTTCATTTGTAATTCACTTACTAATAATGGTAGTATAGCTGCCCAATCTTAGAAGCAATTTCCCCTATTTGCCACCGCTTCAAGCCATACCGATTATCCAAGACTTGTCTGTTTTACATAGGAGATAAGAAAATAGAAATAAGAGACTATAAATTCCAAAAATAACCAAATCTGCAAATTTAATAGGATAAAATACCACCCAATTCAGCATGAAATTCTGAATTCATGAATTCAAATTCATGAATTTTTCATGAGATTTCAACATCAATTAAATTCAAAAAGCATATATTAAATGTCTACCTAAAGTATGCTGAAATATGAAAAGAAACTTCTTTGAGCTATGCTCACGAAAATTAAAAGCAACAACCTCCCCCCAAAACAGCTTTCACCAAATAAACAATACCTATTTTAGAATGAAACCATGCATCAAGCCTACCTATGTTAATCTGAACCACTTCAGATTTAACACTCTCTTTAAAGATCAGATGAGAACATTACATTTTAAAAACTTAAGTAAATAGGAAAAAAATCTATTTATTTTCCTTTGTGTCATGAAGATGAACTATATTAAAATGCACCAAGAGATAAAGCATACTGAGGTAGTAAAGGTCAAAACTGGAACTAACATAAACTGGCCCTTCACTCTCCTGTAACTGTAAAATTCCTTTACCGATGCTGCTGCTGGAACTTCCAGAGTTTGGTGTAAACATCGAAAGTTCTTCCAAAATAGGACTGCCACTGCTTCTGCCCATATTGTGGCAAATCTCTGTAATGACAAACAAACACGTATTACTTTTAAAACTCCTAGGCTATTTGGAAATTAAGACTTGTGACGGTATAAACTAGAAAGATTTAAAGCATCTGCATTCAGGCTTTCTTTCTTTTTTTCAAGATTTTATTTATTTGACAGAGAGAGACACAGCGAGAGAGGGAACACAAGCAGTGGGAAAGGGAGAGGGAGAAGCAGGCTCCCCGCCGAGCAGGAAGCCTGATGCGGGGTTTGATCCCACGACCCGGGGATCATGACCTGAGCCGAAGGCATCTGCCTTCGACTGAGCCACCCAGGCGCCCCTCAGGCTTTCTTTTTTAAAAAGCTGTAAATTTTGGAGCAGAAATGGTTCTGTAAGAGTCCAGGACTTGTTCTTTCCTACTCTTCTCCCCACCTCTGTTCATTCTTAGTATCTTTTGTAGACACTGTCCCGTGAGGTTTCTAGCATTCTCTTTCTTCTCCTGGGGCGATCTTATTCGTAGTCACTCATGCACTGATAGCTTCCAAATGTTATCTTCATATTAGAATTTCATTATCTTCACATAAGAACTCAGCACTCCGAAAAACCCTGCTGCTTTAGGGAACGTATCTAGCAATGGATGTACAGGTGGTATTACTGTTCTTGATTATTCTATCCTCTCTCTGTAGGTGAACTCTACATCCCTGCCCTTGGGTCTGGTGACTCAAACCACACGCCTTAGAAACAAATTCTTCTCTGTCATATGAACACTGGGCCTGGCCTTAAGACTTGCTCTGGCCAATGAAACATAATTGCATGTTACCCACACCCTGTCTGAGAAGATGACATGAGAGATACTATGCAGTTCAGCATTTTCACTTCCCTCCAATCTAAGACCAAGATAGGGTTGCTCCTTAGCCTGGAACACAGAGTCAGACCCATTTAATGGAGCCTTAGAACTGCAGACAACTTACAGCTAGCACGGGAGCTAGAAATAATCTCTATTGTAGTGAGACACTAAAATGTTGGAGCTGTTACAGCAGCCTCATTGAGGAAAAGCCAGTATGGAAATGGATACCAGGAAGAGGCTATTGCCATAACAAATACATAACATATGTAACACTGGCATTGGAACTGAGCAACACAAAACTGTCACTAAAGGCTAGAAAAATGATGACACATACAATACAGAGGCAAAACAGCATCTGCCTGCAATGACTTGGAGGGCAGTTAAAGTGACTAGTGAACATATGGATTTATACAAAGAAGCTGGGAAAAGTATGTAACTAGTCCCGATGCTATTAGGGCACTTCACAAACACGAAAAAGAGATGAACTCAGAAAAGAACTAGCAGCAAGCTGGGCTGAAAAGGAAAAGTGATGACCCACCAGTTCCAGAACTTTCAGGATGGCAAGAACAGTTTCTCATGCGTAAGTGTAAAAGATACAATGGGGAAATGATGGCTACAAACACCACTAACAACGGAGTCTCATCCTCAGGGCAAAACCTTTCTTAGAGCCTGTGAATACATCTATGAATGTGGCCCGAAGTGTATTTTTTCACTGGAATAAGCTAGATCAGGGAGAAGGACCTGAGGATCCAATTGTCTTGCAGAAGCCTCATAAGCTCAAGGTATCTGTAAAAACCTCTACAAGAGAAAAAGAGGCAAATTTCAAAAAACTATGGCTATGGCTGTTGGTTTGTGAAAGCTACGTGAATCCAATAAAGAGTCAACCAAATCTTGGGAGGGTCGTACTGCCCAACACTGGTTGTTTTACAAACGAACAATAACCACCCACTGATTCCAGTGAGGTACTCTTCTTACCCGAGTCTATGACTGGTCTTCTCGTGTTTACTGATTGGGCTTTTGG